GAGAGTGTGGTCTTGAGCTGAGGCAGAGCCTGTTGAATTGACCATCGCATTCTCAGACCGGAACTATGTGCAGACAAGGTAGGAACGTTAGACATGGTCGGACACTTTCGAACTGTGCCACTTCATGACGATAGAATGTCTGAATGGTCTTTAAACAATCGAAAGGAGAGACTTTAGACTCCTTTCGTCACATGTTTGAATTTCCTCCATTTGATCATGTGCAGCCACCCCAGGGTATATAACTTCACCAAATGGAGGAACACGATAGCAGATGGATCATGCAGATAGTATGGGCAGCCCGTAGGGCCACTAATTTAAGAAAACATAAGAAAACTGCTTTGTCACTCAGTCGGGGCAGGGTCACGTTGTGAAATGTTTCGACAAACTGTAATGTGTTTTTTTTACGCAGGCTTCCGGAGGGCTTGGTTGGAACACAGCACCTCCTGCGTGTTGCCCGGTCCTCGGCAAGGACAGCCGGCGAAAAGATCACTACTAGCATTTCAAAGCTCCAAGAGAGTGCCTTCAACCTAACTAGTGTATCCACGCTCTCAATCTACATACTCGCCAAATCTTGCCTCCTACCCCGGATGGGTTGTTGCCAGGTGGGCAGGAAAATAGGTAATCAATGACGCACGATGGGTGAGGTTACCCAGTGTGTGTGGCAGACATCAAGGGAAGAGCTCTCTTGAGCACACATCTGCGAGGATATATAATTCCACTGAGACAATCTCACAGAAGCGGCCCAATGTTTGGGTTCCAACTTCCAGCATTTGTTGAAATGCTTTTTGGGGTACAGTACAGCGGCGGAAGAATCTGCTCAAATTTGGGTGAGCATATATCATATAGTGGCATTCTTGAATTGACTTCTTGAAGGGAGAGGGCACCTAAGCTACTAGGCTGGGCTCAAATTCTTGCCTAAAAGAGCAACCGGCAAGACACTTTTAAGCCTTCATAACGAGCTCGCTAGACCTCAGAAGCCCCACAATCTGCAGGCCCAAATTCTCATCTGGGAGACGGTAAAGTGGGGATTATTTGAGACCTTCAGATTCTTTGTTTCAGCACACTGTATAGATCATTATCGACTTGCAGAATGATGCGCCCAACGATTTCAACTGTCATGAGTGTGGGGAACCATCTGCTGTAATAAGGCTGAATTTCTTACATGGAAAGCCGTAAGTAAGAACTTGAAGACAAGCATGGCTGTTTCTGAAGCATGCCCGGTGCCGCTCTCAGATCCTTCCTCATGAACATACCCTCCTTGCATTGCATTTGAGGTTGGTACGGTTCAGAGCGCGACAGGTGCTGTTGCGTTTGGATCTCACCACAGTGCTTCCACCTCGGAACTGTGTGCACTCTTCAGCCATGCCTCAGGGTTTCCTCTGTTGATGTCTCCGTGAGCCCGGCTTCGCAAACTGGAATTGAACAGCTGGCACAGCAGGCATGCCACTGGCGGCCGGGAGCATTGTCCTGTCTTTACATGTCTTTACATTCTTGGCATTTGGAATGAAACCGAAACACAGTTTTGACAACTTGACTCTGTTCGAGCCGTTAGGCCGTTAGGCGAATAAACATGTTCGGCTTTGCAAGTTGCCTTTCTCAGACAAAGAGAGTCGGACAGAGAGAGAGAGAGAGAGTGGGGTTGTCAAGCGTGTGGTGTAGAAAAGAGTAATTCGGCTGCAGGTGCCCAAAGTGGATCCAGAGACGGCGATTCTGTACACAACGTTGTGGCATGGTAACACTTAATGCCGGGCAGGATGGGATGCATGCATGACAGCAGGCACCCAAAACCATCTTGGGAACTTGGGTGAAAGTATAGAAAACAATGTGCACTATATTGTTTCCTTGCGACGGACTGGAGATAGACACAGTTTGAGAGCCGATTCCATAGTCAGGACGGATGATACACTAGAAAGATCTAGAACGATATTACACCGCACCCTGACCAGCCAAGCAAAGTAGATATGAATGAGCGGGGAGTTCGAGACACCAAAAATGGATGGATGAACCCTGGAAGTTCCTTAGGCTTTGGTGAGAAGAAGGGGGGAGAGAGAGAGAGAGATGGGGGGTGAACAAACACTCATGACTTCAAGACCTCTTGAGAGCAGATATGCATCTTGGAGACTTATGCTAATGGGACGTTTGCTCTTTGGTGCTTGGGACCTCGTGGTCCTTCCATGCGAATTGCTATGGGCATCTGGCATGGGTGGGGTAGGGCCGCCCGCCTCTCATCGACATCCTCCCAAGCTATGGAAAGATGAAAAGAGCACACCTGAGTTGATAAGCTATCGGATACATATACAGTATATTTTAAACCAGTCTAGCCAACTTAGACTCACCGCTTAGACTCACCGCTTCACATATGTGCTCTTCGCATCGAATTGTTGTGCAGAATTCACTGATCCGACTCATCAATAGATTCCATCAAAGCAAATTGGGTCCCAATAGTCGATCAGTTCCAGGAAAAAGAGAAAACCAATTAAAGATCCTGACCAAACAAAATACAAAAGGAATACTTTCACCACCAGTAAATTTGCAATACACCGTTTCTCTTCTGTGAGCACCATTATTCGGGTTTCGCTCCCTCACCAAGCGCAAAATAATATGCTGTTTGTTTAATTACATTTATGTTGGTTGCTTCTAAATCATTAGACTCAAATTGTGATCAACGGACGGGATAGTAGGATGATGTCGACCTACCAATGAAGGGTCTTATCTTAGCCTTTAAGATATAACACTTTACAGCGGAATGTGGCGATGTGACCCTGAACGACAAGAATTGAGATCAAAAGAATGAAGTGGTTGATCTCGAACTCCCTGCTTTTGGGGATTGCTTGTAGATAAATGTGACCCCTGCAGATGATGGAGGGACACAGCAGTCCATCAAAGGAGAGTGACGAGGTCTTTGCCGTTTCTTGAACGTTGGTTATTTTGCCATGAAAGAATGGGGAACAAGAAGCTACTAATAAGAAAGGGCATGGCTACTAGTAGCATGGACACGACTAGTAGAAAGGACTCTACTAGTAGCTCCTGGCCTTACTACCAGTAACAAGGACGCTACTGGTTTATTTCCCTTTCTTTCTTGACTGCACTGGCGGCACAAGGCTCGCCGAAACTCCTGTTCTGGGCTGAGACCTCGTGTGACCAGGTCAAATTCTTTGCATATTTTGATATTGCCAGCAGTTGCACGCAACTTGAAGCATTATTCCTTCTGCTCTTGCAAATCATCTTGAGATTGGTACAAGAGAAGGCAACTCCAACGGAGAGCATGCCCACGCTGGCACAGGTGGGGCAGTTCACTGAATGGATTTCTGCCAACTTGTCCTTTGCATGCTATTCCCATCTAGGTCGTGGAGGGCAAGATGTTTGCCATTGCCTCAGTTGCAGATTGTGAAATCATCATGATCAAAGGCCACAGGAAGTCCGTGGATGTACTTGACACCTGCAGACAGCGTGCGGATATTGTTGCCAAGAGACGCGTTTGGAGCCAGGCTGCCGACCGAGCAATTGCTGGGACACCAGAGGTGATCCGGCTTGCTTTCCCATGTGTTCTTTATCATCATCACATATGTATGTCTTACCTGCATGTTCCCCAAATCTAGATTCTAGATCAGGCAAACCCAGCCTAATATGGAACAACTTTGAAGATCGGTCCTTTGAAGAACATCCTTGCTTTCCTTCTGTCAGAAGGATCTGGTTCATTCTGACAATAATTGGATTGGATATTCTTATTCAAAAGGCAAGGTATCTCTTTCATAGAAGCATCCCACTTTATCCAGGACATCATCGGTAATACAAGGCTATTACATGCTGTTGCCGTATTACATACAAGGCTATTATATATACTATTCTTAAACCATGCTCATTCTTGATAAGACTTTGACCGTAAGAATGCATATATACATATGAGCACAGTATCCGCCATAAAGGAAGATTATGTTCACAAAAGGTAGCTCAATTGGCTGACAACTTTGGAAGTTCTACAATCAACAACCTGTCGAAGAAGGGAAGAGCCGAAGATAGGCAAAAGGGTAACGACTACGGGTAACAAACTTTTTAGAGCAATACGTTATGACATGCATTGCAATGCTAGCGGCCAATCCACCTGTTTGTCTGTAGAGGAGCTGCTGATTATGTAAGCAACAGGGTGCAGCTTGTGAACTACACAACCAAGAAAGATGTCAAAAGGTCAAGAAGTAGTAAAAAGTTTCGAGGATAGTGTTGGGTGCTATCGACAGCAGGAGCAGCTTCAAAATGGAAAACCTAATTCAAAGGAACATAGTATTGCTAGGCAGCAAGAAACAGTGACTTTTGACCAAACAATAGGTCAAGCTTCCTGGACCCTCCAATACCAAACACCCAAGTGCTTGATGCATGATAATACCTTCAAAGCCTAAACCTCTCAAGAATTGTGTGTTGTTGATTGTGGTATAAGTTGCGTAGGCCAACCCTTGGCTGAGGCCTTTGGCAGTGCACTTGCAAGTGGTGAGGTGAATCATTCATTTATCCCAAACTGCTGAACACCTTGCTAGAAGTGCCCACTATGTATCTACTTTATAAATGTATACTGTACACATCTGTATACCTAGTATTCCGTGTACAGTGGTCAGTCGTTGCAGGGTGAATAATGTTCATTGGCGTGTCTCGTGTTCAGCGCGCACGCTCCGTGAGTGTCTCTTGTGAGTGAGTGTTCGAAAGGGGTCGAGTTTGTGGCTTTGCTTTCAGGGCAAGGAAATGTTGCCGAATACAAGCACGACCTTATCCATGTAAACATCAATCTTTTCTCTATCTTTTTTTTGAGCCTTGAGGACGTCAGTTGTTTGTCATGTGACAGTAGGCAGACAGCGACACTTGACCACTGTGCGTTGCTGCTTTTGCCGCTTACCGTCGCCGTAGTTCTTTACACTGTGGGTTTGCGGTTTGCGTGACATTTTGTAACCTTGCAGCGCATGGTTTGCCACATGAGCAGGCTACTGTGCATGTAGGCAGACACGAATTATATACAGAAATTACATCCGGAAGCCATGCGAGCCATGAGCAATTTGGATCCTTCATGGGACGCGTCAAGCCTAAAGGATCCAAGACGAAAGAGCAGGATGGGCCATCTCGGTTTGACGCCTGGGCAGACATCTCCCAGTCCTTCCAACAGCCACGATGGAAGATGTACGAGTTGGAGTTTGAAAAAGGGAGGGATGAGAAGGTGCAGGTTTTTGGACACTACATTGTCGCAACCGGAGATGAAATTTGGTGTATTGGAGGGTTTCGGCCATGCGAGCGAGCCAAAATATCCTTATTAAAGTTGAAGCTACATTCCAAGTGCTGGGATGACTTGACACCGCCGGACAATGCAATAGCACCGGCTTGGAGGTGGGGGCACTCTGCCTGTGTGATAGGCAAGCAAGTCGTGCAGAAGCAGGTGATCTCAAGCATTTTGCTTTGCGGAGGGTTCAACAAGAATTGCAATCATGATGACGTTTGGCACTTCTGTCCGAAGGAGAAAGTCTTTACTGAACCGCAAGCCAGCCTCCAGCGATTGCCTTTTCATGGGGCCTACCATTCGCTCGCTTATGACTCTTTCTCAGAGGAGGCATACATTTTTGGTGGCCAATGCTGCGTTGGTGGCCCCTATGTCTATTCTGATCGAGACTTGGATATACCTTGGAACTTAAGCTGGACTTTTGAGGATTTTGGGAAACGCTGTGGTGGCAAAAGTCTCATAGAGCGTCCGGGTTGAGGTGTATTGATTGCCCAGATGCGCCGCCACCGGCGTGGCTGGCAGGCTTGGTATGTTAACAGATTTTGACAAGATGGAAGATAGTAGCATCCTTGCTCCTAGTAGTATGGCCAGGAGCCCCTAGTAGCGTCCTAGTAGTAGCGTCCTTGTTCCTAGTAGCGGTGCCAGGAGCCCCTAAGAGTCTTCCCAGCACATTTGTCTTTGAAAGCAGCCATGAGGAACTCCGCACCTCTGGAGTGAAGCCTCCAGCAAGAGCACAGCATGCAGCTGTCAAACCTGCAGTGTTTGACAGACTCATGCATTTTACGTTCTGCACTCGGCCTCAGCCTCCACATGTCCGAGCACTTTGCCAGGTTATTGTGGAAAGCGGAACCATGATCATTTATGGTGGAGCGAACTCATCTTCGACTCTACACGACGTAAACCGGACGCAGTCAGAGCTTTTGTGGGCATAAATTCTTTGAACAGTTCACGTGAAACTTCAGGTTTGGACACTGGACTTGCGAAAGGCTCCGCCCCAATGGAGCGAGGCAATCTACGTGTCATGTGTGCGAAAACTTCTACTGCATCGCTGCATCACCTATTGTCAGGTCCGCACCTCCAGTCAAGCGCCTTTCGTTTCCCGCTTTTTCACCCCACGTGACTTCGAGGCCTCGAGATATGTGTCATACTGCCCAATCAATTGGAATTGAAGTAGGAACAAGGACGCTACTGGGGGCTCCTGGCATCGCTACTAGTAACAAGAAGCTGCTACTGTAGGGGCTCCGGACCTACTAGGAGCAAGAACGCTACTAGGTGTGTGGCATTTTGGCAGAATAATTTGCTTGTTTCTGCTGACGGCGCTCCATTGCAGCTTCCATCCACAAAGTTCCGGTACTTTGCCTCACAGTTCCTGTTGGCAACAGGTAGTCTCCAGCCGTCCCCAAATGGCATCACATGGCTCTGGCGTCATCGTTGTTGGGGAAGGCCGAGGCGCGCTGCCAAGCGGGAAGAGAAGAGATAATTATGGAAGCCTTCATTGACTTTATTGCGTTTTGCAGGACATTGCTTGTCCCTGTGGGCGCTGCAGTTGGGCAGGTGGCATTCATTGCCTGCCGCTGGTAGTGCCCTCAGATGTTAACATTGACTTGCGTTAAAGTCGCATGATGTTGCACGCGTGTGCACACATTTCCAGTTGATATCTGGTGTTTGTCCTGTTTGGATTATTCATCAATCAATCCCAGACTCCGAGCTGAGCCAGTGTTTCGCCTGCAGAAGCTAAAGCTATGTTATATACATTATTCATCCAAGAAGGGGCCCAGTCAGACACGGCGGCTGTAAGCGAGGGAAAGGTCCTAAGGTAGCAAAATTCCTTGACAGGTAAGTTCCGTCCAGATGAGCGGTGTAAGGACTTCCTCACTGTCACTACCCTCGTCTCTCAGAAATTGAGTCATCCTTGATTACGAAGAAACCAGCGGCCTGACAATAAGACTCTGAGCACCCTCACTGACTTGGGGCCCCCTGCTCTTGGCCTGGCGGTTGACCGTGTACTAGCGAATCATTCTCTGAGTTCAACCGACACGCGGCCGAGACGAGTGATTGGCTGGCAAGAAAAGCAGACAGACGCAAAGCAGCATGCTGGACAGGCCTGCAACGAGTAGATTCACACAAAAGCCACAAATGGTCTCCGCAATGGAAAATCGGCTGCAAAAGCAGCAAACGTTCTGGGGCTTCCTCGAATAGAAGATTGGAGGGTGAAACAGGATCCGCTCCACACCGGCATGCCCAATTTAGCTCAACAACGTCCCGGTCACGATCGTCACGCAACTTTCTGAAGGTAGTCAGAGCTTCGCCATTTTGTCGACTACGGAGTTGCAGTGAATCAGCTGTGGTTTATGCGAAGTGGATCTCACATTTACTGTAAGTGTGCGGAGTTAACATTGGGCAGCAAAATTCTACCATATAAGAGCGTCAGGAGGTGGGCCCAGACATCCTGAGTGGCATTTGTGACAGGGCACTGTGCCGAAGCCGTCAATCATGGGAATCGGTGCAAACAGTATGTCCGTGCGAAATTAATCGTAGGCATCGGTATATATGCCTTCAAGCATGGGGATGCTGTCTCTAATGTAATGTATGCTTTAATTTGTTTGATTCGGTCGTGTTTCATTTTGTGCCGATGCGAGCCGGAGAGTCCACGGTGCCACTTTCACTTCTGCCTGAAGAGGGCAGGCGCAAGGATACACATAGGATAGACTTGACTCGACATAGAGATGCTGTCGAATCCAGGATCTCATTGCCTGACCGAGATGGAACTACGTCATGGCACTTCTTTTTGGTTTAGCACGATGCTCAACACATGCCCGGGTGCACCCTTGTTGGCATACAGGGCAGAACAGAACAGTCCTACAGGGAAGGGGTGCACATGGGCATATCAAAAGAAATGAAACAAATAGAGAAAACCACAAATAGATAATATAAATTAAAGGGACGGATATAACGGTGCAGACAAATTTGGCAAACCAAAGAGCAAAAGCAAGAAAAGAAAGACATACAGACAGAAGACAAAAAAAGACAAGACATATCACAAATGAGGATAAAGCAGGCAGGAAAGAATGACAGAAACAAAAAAAGGTAAATGAATGGATGGAAAAATAACAAATAGGTATCAAACAAAGCACAATGAAAAACAACTGGAAGACCCCCCACATAGTACCTGAAGCATCCTTTGCTGCCATAATGATGGTGTAGGCGGCAACTGCAACTAATAGCACCGGACAACAACAATGTACAAGTGAAAAGTAGCCGAAGGCCACCCCCCTTCCAGCGCCGCGAAATCTGCATGTCACGCACACTGCCTGTGCTATGAAAAAAACTGCTGTCATCATGATCGTTTTGGCCACAACTACCACTGTGGCAACTACCACCGAACTACTATTACTATGTTTACTGTACTCTTCTTTGCCGATGCCTACCGCTGCTGTGCCACTGCGACCGGTAATGTTCATTGTGATCCCCCCTTTCTTTTTGTGTTTGATCATGCGTTGACTGCTTTATTGTGTCCAATTTGCTCGATAATATTTTTGGTGTTTTTGTTTTTTTTGCGTTTGCAGTGTTTCTTGTTCATCGATGTGTCGCCAGCAGCTCTAGCATGTCTTTGCCTGGAGGGGGCGAGCTTTCATTTCGCTATGCTGCAGGGGCACCCACTTGGGCTGGGAACTTTGCGGCGACGTTTCTTGGCGACACCTGCTCGACCACACAGAATAGAGGACCGGCAAGGAAACGCTACAGTTAAAATCGAAGAATGACACGAGTGAGAATTGGGAGCGAGTCGCAACGTGTGGAGGCGTTTGCTTGTTCAATTTTCAAAGAGCCATGCCAAACCCTGCAGCCATTCCAAAAAACTCATTAGCCACATTGGCCAGCGACAGTTTCCTGACTGACCTTGCAACATTGACAGGAACGAGACTTTTGGTCTTTGGTGGTGAGAACTGTCGGGGTCAGTGTGGAGGTCAGCCCTACCAATGCATTTGCAGATGATTGCTCAGAGTTCATCGCTTCATTAGTCCCACTGAGAAGTTGAAATCAATCACAGCGGGGCAGGACTTCCAGGTGGTGCACTTCACCATGGAGGTGTGCGACCGGTTCTTGCGGACATCGTCCTTGCATTGCATGTGAGAGAGTACAATAGTAGAGACAAACATAGGGATAGAGAGAGGGATAGGGACAGACTATATATGGACACCATCCAGTCTTGTAGACTAAGATCAGAAGGTGCGCCCCTTCATGACATGACCTATGCTTGCAGGACTTTGGACACTCGATCTCATACTGAAGCCCTCGAATGTTCTACAGAGGACCCTGAGGTGCCTTTGAAGCCTAGCTTGTGGCTTTGGGTTGCCCTTACTGGCTATGTTTGACGCGCACATTTGCAACTTGCATTTCAAGGTGTGCCTTGCAAGGCTCCAAAACTTGTCTTTCCGAAGAGGCTTTCGAGGCTCAGATGTGGGTCGAATGGATCGATGCAAAAGTCGGTCGCCCACATGATCCTCATTCAATTCTGATGTTGCCCTCGTGAACTGGAAAGGCAGGAAACAAAAAATGACTTGGCTCCTGCATGCAAGAACTCCTGATATCGGAACATCCCGCCAATTAATTATACATTGCTTTTGTCATATAGGTGGGTACCCTTTATGGGCTATGGGATGCTGCTAAATGGCTTAGGGATTTGCGCGCTGAAACTCTGTTGGCCTTTTACAATAGGAGAGGACGTCTGAGGCTCCATCCAATGATATCATCAGGAACTGATGACGTGCCTGCTTGGACTTTACCGTTCAATTTCCCATAGTCGCCCATGGTCCCTGCTTTGAGCTAGAATAGAACATGTACTTAGCGCTTTCGACTTGGGACAGCCATCGACAGCCCGGAGTGAGCCCAAAGTAGTCCCCTCCGTGGCCCAGGCAGTGGAGCTGGGGGTGAAGTTTCCACATGTTCCCACCGGTATGTTGGACAGAGCAGGCCATAGCGGCCATAGCGGCCGAAGCAGTCCGAGCGCAAAGTGCCAGACTATCAGATTTGGTTTCGACAGGAGCGGGCTTTTATGCTAAGAGCTCTCCACAGCGGACGGGAGTAGTTAGCGCTACGCACAGCAGAGTAGGCCACAGCGGCCGTAGCTTTTGAACTCGAGATATATAATTCCTAAAGTTCTTGCACGCACAAACATACCAAACTAGACACGGTCACCCAGGTGATTTATGTAATGTGTTTTTTTTTGTTGTTGTTCCCTTCCATCTGGTTTCCCTTTCGTTCGCAACTGCATACCTTTCCGCTTTTCATCATTTCATCCTTTTCTTCTTTTGCGCACACATCTGCCTATACTTCAAAAAAGGCTGATAGGTGCCCCATGAGGCTTGGCTCACACTTGGTTTTCCCTTCATTCGTGGCCTAAATCGCGTGCCCTTTTTCATGTCTTTTCATTGTTTTTGCGCGGGCATGTGCTTTCGATTCAACACCCCCGACCAAGGGCACCTATGGCATGTCTCTCTGCATATTTCCTTTTCCTTCCTCCTTCCTGGCTTTTCTATTTCCTTTCGCTACGCCGCGGGTTGGCCTGTCGCTTGACCACTTCGCCTTCCTCCTTTCTCCTCCTTCCTGTCCTTTCTCCCCTCGCCTTCAGCATGGACCTCGAAGCTGGCGGTCCCCCCACGGAGCGTGTGTGTGGGGCCCTTGGGTCCTGCGAAACAAAACCAAGTAAAAACAAAAAGCTTTCAGGGCTTCTCCTACTTTTTCGGACGGTGATTTCGTCTCCGTGTGTTTATATGGCCGGGCGCATCCCTCACAGTGCTGCTCTAAATGTTTGTTGGATTAAACTACTCGACTAACCTCGGTTTTGGGCCGGGGAAGACGCAAATGTTCGGGACCGCCCTGACCGCAAATCAAATGTATATAACTTAAAGACACCAGTACCAAGTTGGAAGTTGTTCAGTGGCCCCCGCTGAAACCCAAGAACATATAAGAACATATTTGGGGGTGGGGATTATAGAATTGTAACTTCCTGATCTTTACACTAGACTAGATAGAGATGTGTGTGTTTGCTTTTATTTGTCAGGTGTTTACATGTCGCAGCTGCCAAAAACCATTGGCTCTATGTTACATGTAGGCTAAAGTTTCGGAGGCCTCCAAAGCGGTCGTATGTAACATCAGAGAACTCAAGATAAACATTAATAAAAACACGTCCGGAAAAACGTCCATGCATGACCTCTGTGGGCAAATGGCAGCTAGGAAGAAAGAAACAACAACAAACACAAAAAACACATGACAGAAAAACACGGTCTAAAGAAACAGATGAAGAAACATAGACATGAAGAAAGAGGAACCTCCCAAAATGTAAGTTTCATTTTTTTGGAGGCCTCCAATATATTGGTATGTGATTAGAAACCTAGAGGACACATGAGGACACATAGATAACTAAAGATACATAAAATAATGGAAAACAACCAATCAAAATTCCATGCATGGCCCCTGCCCCTACGGTCAAAGGGCTGCTAGGAAGAAAGAAAGAAAGAAAAAAGGAAGAAAGGAAGAAGGGAGGAAAGGAAGAAGGGAATAAAACAAAAGAAAGTAAGAAACCAAAAGAAAGGAAGAACACAAAAGGACGGAAGCAAACAAAAGAAAGAACCTCAACAAAAGAATGGATAAAAACGAGACATGTCCAAAGGAAATGAAAGGAAAAGATCAAGAACAAAACCTCACAAACAAATTAAACTAGACAGGCGGAGGCCTCTAAAACAGCGGCATGCATTACCCCAAAGGGTTCTAAACTGCTAAAGACACATACTGGAAAACAGTCAATAAAGTGTCCATGCATGGCCCCTGCGGCCAAATGGTAAACTAGGAGGAAAGGAAGGAAGGCCAAAAAAACTAGAGAAACAAGGACATGTCTAAAAAGTGAAGAAATTAAGAAAGAACACAATCTCACAAAACATGTGAGCTACTACACTGGCGGAGGTTTCTACAACAGTGATGCTGACAGTTGTGGTCCTGACAGTGCAGATTAACGTGTAGACGGGGCCCCAGGAAATGTAGGCGAAATGACCTCAGCTCGAGTCTGCCTTTCCCCACTCCGTAGTGGCATGCAACCTCAACTTGGTCGCCCTTCCAATTGCAACTGTTCCGCTCCTTAAAAGTGAACACGTGCCTGGTGATTTTCGAACAGGACACGGGAACCGAAAACCAAAAGAGACAAGTTTTGATAAGACAGCCAAGCCTCCTCCTGAGTATGATTATCACCAAAAAGACTGATTATTGTTTGAGTTAAGGATCAGATGTTTGTGCACGGTGCCAGAAATTGAACTTCAATCGCGCCTGAACATTTGCCTGGAAGCCTGGCTGGAAGCCTGGTGTGCAGTTGCAAGACATGTGGTGTGTAAGCCAGTGAGTTCCTTTTTTGGGCATAGTGCTCTTTTTTTGCAACCACTTTGCAGTCGCTGAAGCTGCGGAAGCTGTGCGGAAACCCCTTTTGTGTGCAAGACTGTGCAAAGGCTGATTGGCCACTAAAATTTTCAAGAACACTAAACACCTGCCGATTTTCGCAGAAGCTGTGCGGAAGGCTCGCGCAAGCCCTACTTCCCAATTTGTAGGGTCCCATTCTTAGCCAGATGTGCAGCCACGAAGACACCATGCAAGAACTTAGAAGTGACAACTCCAAGAAATCTAGCTGTCCTACTCTAGATCATTGTCATCATTGCACCAAGACCGCACGCGGAAGCAACCTTGAAGAAACCCTCGGTAACTAGTGCCGCGTAAGTTCAAAAGTCCCCACCCAACAAATAGCAGTGTACTCAGCAGGGACGACAGATCGCTTGAAAGCAGCCTTCGCAGCCTCCAATGGTATGAAATGCTTTCCTGGAAGTACTTGTGCAATGAACTGTTGGCTCGTCGGTCAACAGTTGAAACAACAGGTCCAGGAAAGCAACAATGAAGCTCATTGCTGTTGCTGCGCCGGTGATATTCCCCCTTACTGAAGCCACTCAAGAAATGACACTGTCATTGATGGCCTACAATATATAATTGTACAGTAAAGTGCTGGTTCCTTGAATGTTAAAGATATTGACATTGAATCATTGAATATTGTCCATTGGTGGAATCCAGAGATGATCTCATAGAAAAGTGCCGTTGTGAACATGACATTGGGATGTGGCTTGATCCTTTCACAGACGGCATATGCATTCTGTCATGAGCACGTGGACTGTCGTTTAAGTTGCACGCGGTTTGGAGTTTGCTCATTGACCTGCAAAATTAATTCATGAAGAATTGGGGGGTGGTACATGACCACGTGAGAATGTCGAGTGACGGCCCTTTCTTCAGGGCTATCAAACTTATGGCTGGCCCCTTTTTTGTAGAACCACTTCGTTGTCTCCTGCATGCATGACCTTGAACATGAATTCACATTTTATTGAATTTTGATGACTTTTGCTCTCCTCCCTTGAGGTGATCCTGAATCTGGGGATGAATTTGATAAAATGGGTTGGCCAAGCATTTTGTAGAGCCTATTCCATAGACGGTAACTTTTTTATAGAATGCTTAGGGATGGATTTTGCTTTCAATGTATAGATGTGTAGCCGTGTGCAAACGGCGGTAGGATATGATATGCGTATTATATATATATACATATCATATGCGTGTCTATTTAAGACTATACATAGAGAGACATTCGTTTAATATAGATGCATATATATGTGTTAAGAAACAATTGTTAAAGGCGTGCAGTGTACATTCACAATATGCGGCGTGACCGTGACCTCCCATTCTGGAAACTAAAGAACAAGCAGGGCTGCTTTGGCAATACCACTGGCAACACTGCGTGTAGTTATCTGGTATTGACTCTGACTCTTGGGTTCTTGCCAGTACATTTCGTTCGTTGCTTTTCCGTTTTGCGACTTTGGGACCTTTAACTCCCTCCTGTTTTCTTAAGAACATCTTGTTCTTGTGCCACGCTGACAGGCCATCCTGGGCTTTTGTATGGTGAATTTGGTGGACTTGCTGACAGCAGAGCAGAGTAGTCTGAGTAGTCAGAAAACACAAGAAAAAAGGACCGCGGTGGAGAAAACCATTGGCCCAATTATGTCTATGCAAGCGGGCCAATTATCTTGATTCATCTTGATGTGGGAAGAGTCACCTTGGTGTTTTTCGCTGCGCAGATGGTATCATCAGTGGCACATATGCTCACCGCTATCGCCGACGCGGGCGCTGTTGCGGACTCGGACGGCGTCTCAGATTGAAAAACCCAGATGCAACTCCAGAGGCAGTAGTAGCACGGTTGTTTAGCTTGGACCACAGGTGGTCTCATTCCTGAACAATATGGTGAACCTGCCCTTTTCTCAGACTTTCTACATTATCTTTCTACGGTCGAGTGCAGTAATTCGCTACTTGACCATCCGTATTTTGAGGTCTGTGGATTTGGGTTATATTTCAGCAGATGGCTCTTTGGGCTCGTCAGCCATGACCCTAAAACGACGAAGGCAGTATCGGCAAGTCGGCTTGGCAAGGTTCTTTCTAATAGCAGGCGCATGCTAAACGTTTGTACAAATATCCGGTGCATATTCCAAGACACTATATAACCACCGATCAGGTAGAAGTAATTACTGTACAGTAATTATATATACAGCAATCCTTTGTCGCTTGTACTTGTCAGGGTCCTTTGGCATTTGACATGAAGCGAATTCTTTTGCTGAATCCCAAGCAGGAGGACATTCTCATGCTTAGGAGCTGCTGCAGGAAGGGCCCATTCCCTTTTCATGGCAAAGGCCTCACTCACCTGCCACCAAATCCTTGGTTACAACTTTCTCTTGGCTCACTTCTGAAATTGACCCCTTGATGAAATGAAGGCTATAGCCCGTGAAAGTCCCGTCGCTGCAAGTGGATGTTGAGGTGTTGTGGAAACACAATCCGGGCTTGTCCTGTGTTGCTGTTGCTGGCACATGCCAAAGATGTACATGCATAGATGTGTAGCATATGCTGGCTTGCCGGCATATTTTGGTATCCCCACCCATATTTGCCTCTCATATTCCCTCCCTGCCAAGGAATATGTCGATGTTGCAAACAGTCTGCCAGTCCCCAAGGGCATGTGAATCGAGTCAAACGTTTGGCAAATTGAGCCGCTTGTGAGCTGTTTGAGCTTTGTGTTGCCATTAGCCTAGTAAAGGATTCAGGGGAGACACTTTGACAATTATCCTAATGGCGATGGCCTCCACCCCTGTAGCGATGGCCTTCAACCTACTAGCGATGGCCTCCAAACTAGCGATGCCATTTTAGATTTTATATTCTTTTCACACTGAGGTTTAGTGCCATTGATGCTATCACGCCCGGTGTGGTGAGGATCTCAAGAGTATCGAAGTTCCCACATGGCGACAGGAACCACCTGCAGGGGATGTATATTATAGACAAATATGTAACTCTATTCAAGCCAAGCAAGCAGAGGGGCATGCAAGAAGTAGCCTTTGGATGAGGTACCGTCCTACGAAAATGCAACTGCTCGTCGCCTGAAGGGAGGCCGTGGCATGGGCGGCATGGCCCGGTGCTCAAAAGGGCAGAGGTGACACAGACAGAAACTTAGATATAGGCTCGCAGCCTCGCACGAACAGTATCAGAGTGTCCGGTGTTACTGCAATTAGACCTTTAATGCAATTAGACCTTGGGTGAGGGAACGCAAAGGTGAATGAGTTTGCGACAACAGTATTGTTTGAACAAAGGTGAAACGTGAAGAATGTACTAAAAATCTTGCAGGTACGTCCAGAAAACGTCCCTTCTGGATATCACGACCAAGCTATCACTGTCTTCGTTGGGCAGTGAGTGATAGTAGTCCACTACAGTCCACTGCCCCCCTGCGGGTACTGCACAGGAAGTTACATGAGAGTTAAAACATGGCAGTGTGTGGTACCCCTGGAAATGGGGTGTGGCACACAGACACACACTTACACACAAAGAGCCGATTGACGGCGCACACTGAGCAAGAAAGCCTGCTCTACAATCTAACAAGCCTGTAGGAACGAACGAAAGACCTAGAAAGGGAAAACAGAAGAGGAAGGAAAGTAGCTCCAAAAAGATCTGTACACGCGCGGCTCGGACTTGACTAAAAACCGGATTACGAACCTAAAGACCTCTAGTTTAGAAGAGAGAAAGGCCTAGAAAGAGAAATGCAAGGCAGGAGAGAACGATAGCGGAGGGGGGTGCCAGTGTCTTTTTGGGGGTTGTGTGTGGGCGGAGCCTCGGCTGTGCACCAGGGATTTTCTCGCCTGTGCACGCGTAAGGATTGGCTCGGCTGTGCACGTGCTACATGGTACTTTGGAAGCAAATAGCCAAAAGAGCTGAGATCATCATGTAGAAGAATGTCCACAGAGACGTTATTAACACCGCACCCCCCCCACCCACCCCACCTCACCCCAACAAGAAATTTAAACTTAATCAGAAAGTGAGCATCTGTGCTCATTGACCTGACCTAACAACATGTCAGGCACGCATCACATCAAATCAATTTGTGTGTGCGCAGGTGAGTTTGTGGTACCACGCATGGTTATGTGTGCACAGGTGAGCTCATCCTGTGTGCGCAGGTGAGTTACTCTTAAAAACATAGTGTGTGTACAGGTGAGCTGATGTTGCGCAAGTGAGGCGCCATCCTTGTGTGTGGGATGGTGGGTCAACTAAACGAGCCTGAAAAGCAACCTAACAAGTCCCAAGGCAAAGACCTAACAATTGAGAGAAAACCAGAAGAGAAAGAAGGGGGGTGTGGGGGGTGGGCTGAAAGGCACTTGGCCGCAAAGCTGAATCCGGCGCACCCTTGACTGAAGCCTCACTTACGACCTAACAAGCCTCTAGCAACGAACGAAGACTTAGAAAGAGAAGACCCAAGAAGGAGAGAAAGAGGTGGCCGATGCATGAATTACTCAGTTGGATGATTAAAAGGTGAAATTCCTAGATCGTGGTATGTCATCCTTCTTCTTATTCAGATTTGTGCAGTGATCCCTGCGGCATTCGATCAGCAATCTCATGGAAGACGAAAAACCGGGAGCGTTCGAGCAATCAGAATGATGAGTGGCGTTCTCCCTTGAGGGTTTGTGCTAAACGCGCCCGAAAACTGGATTCACACAGTGCACCGCGGTGGGACGGCGCTGCAGGTCACACTTAGGTATAGGCTCGCAAGAACATAATTCAGTTGTGAGTGCCCGGTGTTACTGCAATTAGCCCTTTAATGCAATTAGACCTTGGTTGAGGGACCGGAAAGGTGAATGAGTCCGCGAACCGTATTGTTTGAACAAAGGTGAGACGTGAAAAATGCACCAATATTCCATCCAGGTACGTCCAGAAAGCGTCCCTTCTGGATATCACGACCCAACTATCACTGTCTTCGTCGGGCAGTGAATGATAGTAGTCCACTGCCCCCTGCTGGTACGGTACAGGAAGTTACAGTAAATGAGAATTCAAAAAGGCAGTGTGTGGTGCCCCTGGAAACGGGGTGTGCAACACACACACACAATAAGTACAAACGATGGGCTTGCCAAAGTGATGCCATGGTGGTCATTGTTAAACCTGGTGTTGCCAGTGTCCTCTAAAATATGCACGGCACTTTCATTGGTACCGTGCGAGGCTTAACATAACATGCTGCTTGCCTGGGTGTGTGCCCGTGCCGGGTTCATCCGACCCCCTTTATGCCAGATTGACTCACCTTGCTATTAGTAGCTTCTAGCTACTCATAGTCTTTGCTCATTCATGTGCAGAAGACTTGAATCACCATTGGATGGGAACCCAGCGACCTGGGTAAGTCAAGTGGTTGACCCAGCGTGAGATGTTGGAAGTCATGTTGGGAGTCCTCATGGCCGCGAAATGATTGGCAACTGCAGGCGGGCCACCTCCCAACAGCGAAACACCCAGAAACACACGTTACTCAAATGCGAACAGGGGAAGACTTAAGAATCAATAAGAATCATAGAAGATCTATCCATTGGCCTTGTTGTGTAATGTTGTGTATTAAAGTCGCCGTTTTGCATAAAAAAATGCGTCAACAGCTCACGGAAGGTAGCATCAAGGGTTGGGCTGCAGCAACTGATTGATCAGGTGCTCTCTCGACAGGTGGATGTAAGGTTCGATTTGGGTCGATTCGGATCGATTCCTTCCACCTTTCCTGGGTCAAGTCGATGGGACACAGTGCGACGTGACTGCGAACCATGTTCAGTTGCGCCGCGGAATGGGCCCTTGAAACCCACCAGTTCACCACCATTTTGCGAGCAGGGAATCCAAGGAGAAACTAGCACCGCCTTTCACCAGCTGTATCTCCGTAGTCGTGCGTCACCACCCGAAACAACTCACCAGAACTCACTGCTTCCGTAGAGGCAGTCCACGGATTCCGAAAGGTGACCGAAACATACCAATAGAATTCGTGCGGTCAAACAAAGGCAAACGGAAGGGTAGTGCACAGAAAGGGTTTTGCAAAAATCTACAGTATTCTACTAACATCGTGGAAGGCGCGGGACATTCGTAGAACCCAAGGCTATTCGTGGACAGTTCGTGGAATGGTGGGCCAGTAGAACTGACTGCAATGAAATCCCAGAAACCTTCGCAGAACTTCGTGGAAGGTGTTTTTGATGCACTAACTTCGTATAAGCGATTTTTGCTGACCCCTTTTCTCCACACACCCTCCATTTAGCCTTCAAAACTGTTGCCCCCTTGAACGGTGGCCCAGCAAGTCAGCACACAAACAGGACATCAACCAAAAGCAAGGTCGTCATTTCAGTTCATTCGCCCTAGCCTGTGCTGAATGACTCTCAGCCCTAGGCGATAAACAGGACCCACTTCCCGGCTGCAGTGCCTGCGCAATGAATCTAGGAACCAAATGAATAGTGAATAGTGTGAGCGCTTCTTCAAGGAAGCGGCTCCTCCCGCCCTCAGGCGGGGGGAGCTTCCTTGAAGAGGCGTGGGCTATTTTGCGTCCTAGGAGCTTACTTAAGTTACTAGCCATATACCTCTTACAGCCCACCCCCGCTTCAAAAACAACACAACTAAACACATCGGAAAAAAAACAGAATTCTTGCTGGAGTGA